GTAATTTGTGTATTTGTTCTTATTTTTGCTGGCTGTTCTCTTGTGTCTTTAATCATGTTTAAACTTTCTTAGTTAATCTAGTAGTATTTGCTGTGGTATCAAATAAGTACTTCGCTTTAAGTAATAAATGGAAAGCAAGTTAAATAGAAATATTTTTCTTTTCTTGCTGATCCGAAAAATGAACCGATCCGTGGGTCAAAAACCGTAATGTGATCCGAACCGTGAGATTTGTGATCCGTTGAACCACTAGTCGTATTTATTTTTTAACATGCAAAAATTTCAGACGAGAATTTCAGACTCGGTGTGCAATGACCTAGAATAGTATACACACATCGGATCGGTCTTGTCTTACCGATACCGATCAGAAAATGCCAGCATCGGAGTCGATACCGATACTGAGTATCGGATCGATGCATCCCTAGGCTAAACAGGTAGTGATGCAGAATCGGTGGGTGGAGCTAAACAAGCAGTGATGTAGAATCTGTGGGCGGTAGGGTTGCTGCGATAGATGGTGTTGACGGTTTTACCGGTGTGAAGCCTCTACACCGGTTATGTCACTTGCCCACCACGACACCGACCCCACCGTCGTTTTGATTATTTATAGTAATAAAAATAATTTAGTTCATTTAAAGAACAGACACTACAATTAAAACTGAATGCGGCTGCTCAATGCAGTGTGCCGAACGACAGTCGCATCACATCAGATTTAATTTATCACGTGAGAAGCTGACAAGAAGAGTGAGGTGGGACAGACAAGACGATGACAGAAGAGTTTCAAAACGACATGCAGAAGCGCCTGTTTTAAAAAATATTTTAGATTTTGAAAAGTCTGTTGACTTCTGCCATTTATATAAAGTGATATATACTTTTTTATTTGGTTCCACAATGTTTGCTGATTTTTATTTAAACTCTTTTTTTTTTACATCAAGTATGCCGTGTCTCCAAGCTTTCTTATTTGTTTTGCTAATAAACATACGTTTCTTATTTATTTGGTTCCACAGTGCATAGCCTACTGATCTTCAGTTTTGTATACCTAAACTTTGTGTAAGTTATTTGTCATTTTATATTAGGCATATAGCATGGTGCATTTTTATTCGTTTTGTTAATAAAAGTTCTATGTTCTACGTTGTATTTTGTTGTTGCTTGAATTGAATCAAGCAATTGATGCCGAATTGCTGCTAATTTGAAAGTGAAAATAAAATGCGCACAGCGCTTTTACAAACGGTGGGCAGTGCTGTAGAATCGGTAGGCGGGGCTAAACATACAGTGCTGTAGAATCGGTGGGCGGGGATAAACAGGCAGCGATGTAGAATCGGTGGGCAGTGCTGTAGAATCGGTAGGCGGGGCTAAACATACAGTGCTGTAGAATCGGTGGGCGGGGATAAACAGGCAGCGATGTAGAATCGGTGGGCGGGGCTAAACAGGCAGTGCTGTAGAATCGGTGGGTGGGGATAAACAGGCAGTGATGTAGAAGCAGGAGTTGATCTTCTTCTGCGGAGGCGGTGCTTATCCACACTATTACATCATAGAGTAGAACATTCCACAAGATGTGGTTTTGGCAGACTGCCTTCAATATAAGCTGTTTTTAGACTAACGAGAAAGTTTTGAGTTCTGAAACTTACAAAGATGTTTTTATATTACAATGACCTTGTGATGAGTGGGGCGAGGCCAAGAGCTGTTGGAACAGAGCGAGGCCGGTGGAGTTCATGATAATGAGCGACACCTGTGCTACTTGCCGGTCTCGCGTCCCACGGAGGAGCTCCGGAAGGATAAAGGGAGGAGTAATGACAGTGAAGGACGAGAGACCGGTGAGTGGCGCAGGTGTCACTCATTATCATTAACTCCACCGGCCTCGCTCCGTTTCCACGGCTCTCGGCCCCGCCCCACTCGTCACAGACCTCTTATATTTCAAAATATCAAGGGAATTTTGGTTTCTCAGTTCATGACCCCTATAAAGATAAAGTGCATGGACATCGTGAACTCAATCAGTGCACTCATGTGTCCATTATGGCACTGATGATGCTCACTGTGTTTGCGTGCAGGAGGAATGAGGAGCTTCATCAGAGCACTGTTTCTGATCGCTGTTGGGATGGCGGTGTGTCAGCAGACGCTCGCTCACTCGCACCATCATCACGAACACTCTCACGGAGATGGCGGCTGCCACGGACACTCACACGGAGGGGTCAAGATGCATCATGGGGCCAGCAAATGGAGCGCTGAAGCCAACCTGCCCCATGCTGAAGACGAGCATCACGGGCATGTGCACGATCACGATCATGGACATTCACACAAACACGGAGCAGAGCGAATGAAAAGCGATGTGGAAGCAGGGAAGCGGAACATGGTGGAGCTCTGGATGCAGGTAAAACACACTGATGGATGAGATTGTCACAGTAAGTCAGTAACTTTAGATTCAGTGAATTCTATAAAATGTTAATACTTAATACAGTCATAAAGTACTTATAAATCATTTGCAAACTAGTTAATTCATAGTTTATAAATTGTAGTCTGAAATTGTTAGCACATTCCAAGCTAATGATTTTTGGTTCCCAGAACGTTAGTTTTTTGTTTGTAAAATGTTCCCCTAACATTATTCCAATGTTCCCAGAATGTTCGTTTTTTTGTTCCCAGAACATTTTTTGTTTGTTTGTAGAACATTATTCTAACATTCCCCAAACATTACTATAATGTTTTGGCTCCCAGAATGTTCGTTTTTTTTTGTAGAATGTTGCCATAACGTTAGTTTTTTTGTTCCCAGAACGTTCGTTTTTTGGTTTCTAGCGTTCCCCTAACAATATTATAACGTTACCAGTGTGTTAGTTTTTTGTTTGTAGAACATACCCATAATGTCGTTATAACGTTCCCAGAACATTATTTTGTTAAGGTTTTTTTTTTTTTGGTTTAACAGTTTTCTTAGCAGAAGTAGAACGTTAGTTTTTGGTTTGTATAATATTATTATAACGTTATTTTAACATTCCCTTAACGTTATTATAATGTTTCCCTAACCTCTTTACTCAATATGATTACCCCTCTGTACATCAGTAATCATCCAGCACACTCACGACCCAGTATAGTATAAGTGGTATGGACGCCTAATCAGTATTACAGAAATCATATCTTGTTTTCATCTATTGTTTAATTAGGAAAAATAATCTGAGCACATCATATGTAAGATTAAATAATATTAAATCTGTCCTTTACGGGGTACCCAGAATTTACATTTCTTCAACACCAAATTAAAATGACTGCTACACAGTGTATGGTTTATAAAATATGACATTTATTCACTGATATAAATTTTTTTGTTTTTTTTTAATTACTTGACTTACATTCTTGACTTACATTCATACAGTGCATTCATTTCTTACCACTGAAGTGTACAGTTTGTGCAGCGGGACATTCTTCTTTTGATCCGTAAACAAAAACTTCTCGTTTAACATCATGTTCTCTTCAGTTAGGCATGTCAAATCCCTCTGAAATCATATTTACTCTCATAATTATATTAATTTTAAGTAATCTTTCAATAAAGAGATCGATGAATGAACGAGTCAGTTAGCCAGTAAAACAAAATTACTGTAAATTTTTTAATTCTGTGAGAGTGGTGAAGCGAGAGTAAATGAAGATGAAACAAACCCACGCATTTATTATTTCTGTTATCACTCTATGCTTAACCCTGGCTTATTATAATTTAAAACGTGTTTTGATTGATCTAATTTCTGTATTTTAATAAATACAGTATTTTATTTGCATTAAACGAATTTCAGGACTGTGTCATTACACAAAAAAAAAACATCTGCAACGTTTCATTAGAAAGATAGTTTACAGGGTTATAAAATAACCTGAGAATAACCATTAGGAAATGTTCTATATGAGTTATTTTTAGGTTATTTTAAAAATAACCACCCTGCAACTTTCTGGAAACTTTATTTTGTGGTTGGAAAATAATAATCTTGAATTTGATTGCTTCCATTGTCCTCATTTGTAAGTTGCTTTGGATAAAAGCATCTGCTAAATGACTAAATGTAAATGTTATGGAGTAACCAGAACATGAGACATGCGGATCCATGTGCAAAGCTTTTATTAAGACGTAGTCATAAACAGGAATAGGTCAGACAATGGCAAACTGGTATGTAGAAGACAAGGCAAGGGTAGTCCGGTAAACAAGCGAGGGTCAAATCCAACAGGGCAAGACTAGAGAGATAATCCAGGTACAAAGCAAAGGTCCAGACAGGGGCAAACAGTATCCGAACAGGGTAAGACGAGAGAGGTAATCCAAAGTACACAGGCAATGATCAGAAGACGAGAAAACGGACAAGGCAAGACTAGGCTAGACTAAGAAACTTAAAGCAGGCTCCGTAACGTAGCTATCACAACTAGCGATATGCGCATACAATACTCGGCAGCCTGAAAGGGATCTGAGTGATCAGTGCAATGGATGATGGGATATGTAGTCCGAGATGACATGCAACAGTTTGTGTAGTGCAAGAGTCAATGTAATGGAAGGGTGACCTCTGGTGGTGATTGAACGGAAGTCCATGGACAGGATTCGTGACAGTAAATCTAATAACCTAAAAATAACGATTAGGGAACATTCTCTGTAAGTTATTATTAGGTTATTTTAAAAATAACCATACTGCAACATTCTGGGAATGTTATTTTATGGCTGCAAAAAATAACCATTAGGGAACGTTTGTCGAGAAGTCATTTTTAGGTTATTTAATAATAACCACCATGCAACGTTCTGGGAAGCGCATATTTTTATAATCCTACTGCTCAAAATACCTGGGATTTTCCCAAAATAACCACTATATGGAGTCAAGATATAGTTTTGTTGTTGATATGGACTAGATTGACAAGAGTGATGTAGTAATGTTCACTATGAAGCTTACACTGTCGATTTGTAAACCGATTTAACAGGTTCAATCAAAAGAATCAGTTCGTTCTTGAATCAGACACCGCTTCTGCGTCTCGGAGCACGTGATATATTATAAGGAGTAACGGTATGTTTTATGAAATGTAGTGAAGTAAAAAGTACGATCTTATGCTTTGGAATGTAGTGAAGTAAAAGTAAAAGTTACTCAAAATAAAACGACTCCAGTAAAGTACAGATACTTGAAAAATGTACTTAAGTACAGTAACGAAGTAAAGCTACTCCGTTACTGTCCACCACTGGTAAATAAACTGCAGAATGTTTTCTAATACACGCATGAACTGCATGTGTTCAAACAGCGCTGCGCGAGCTCGCTAGCCAGGGTTCAAGAGTCCAAAGCGCGAGGAAATTCTGCTCTGAAACAACGTTACTCATCAGTTGCTCAGAATTTTTTTTTTTTAGGGCTGTCAATCAATTAAAATATTTAATCGCGATTAATCACATGATTGTCATGAGTTAACTCGTGATTAATCACAATTTAATCGCACATTTTTATCTGTTCTGAATGTACCTTAAATTAATACTTTTCGCGTTTTTAATACTCTAATCAACATGGGCATGGACAGATATGGATGCTTTATGCAAATGTATGTTTATTAGTGAAACCATACACAACATAGAGCATGAAGACTAGACATGATTCAAAGGTCATAGATGTTTTTCAAATAACTTGTTCATGTCTATTAGACACATGAAAAAAACAACATAGAAATACCAGGTTCCCATTACTTCTCTTTTATTTGCTCTGAGCAATTTACTTACACAAGCCTGCTCACTTCTTCTGAACATGCAAAATGTACATTTATTATTTATTATTACATTTGTTTGCCTCTCTGTGCCCACATACTTAAAGGGTTAGTTCACCCCAAAATGAAAATTCTGTCATTTTACTCACCCTCATGTCGTTCCAAACCCGTAATGGCGGAAGACGTAACTCAGTGGAGAAGAATTGTTAAATAAATTGTTATTTTTGTTTTCTTTGCACTCAAAAAGTATTCTCGTAGCTTCGCAAAACTGAAGTTGAGCCACTGATGTCACATGGACTGTTTTACCAATGTCCTTACTACATTTCTGGACCTGGGGACATTACAGTTGCGTTGTGGTCTATAAAGGGTATGAGAGCTCTCGGATTGCATCAAGAATATCTTAATTTGTGTTCCGAAGATGAACAGAGGTCTTACGGGTTTGGAACGACACGAGGGTGAGTAATTAATGACAGAATTTTCATTTTTGGGTGAACTATCCCTTTAATTTTGATGCAGCTAAATTCTCAATAAAACTGTTTTCATTGATATATTTTGAGAATGAGAAACAACATAATATCTGTTTTAACTGAAAGCGAGTTGCTCCTCTCAGCCGCTCGCTGAACAGAGCAGTACCGGCGAGTCTCAGAAACTAAATAGGCCTAAGGTTTGGGCAAAGCCTAAAGATTTGTCGCTAGGCGCTTTTTTGAAAAAAAGAAGAAAAAAAAAGTAGCTAAGTTGGCAACACTGTGCATCTCCATTTCTCCAACTACGGGCTAGGCTACGGGTCAAAAAGAAAATGAGTGCCATTAAAATGAATTTGCATTAACGCGTTATTAACACATTCATTTTGATAGCCCTATTTTTTTAAATTAATTTTTACAAGGCATGTGACAATGCAATCTGTGCGACAAATTCGTATTGAGAATCATTTATAAATCTGCTGTTGTCAACAAAAAGAAACACTGAGGTCTTCTTGCGGGTTTCCGCCAAAAGAAAAGCTGAGAAAAAGCTAGAATTCCATCAACATTCATATTGTTAGTATTGTAATTTTACTGTTCTGTAAAATAAAATAAAAAGTCAAACAATAATAATAATTACAACAGTTCTATTAAAGGGGTCATCGGATGCAAAATTCACTTTTACATGTTGTTTGAACTGAAATGTGTCTTGAACTGAAATGTGTCCCTATAATGATAAAAATACACCCAGTGTTTTTTTTAAATCCCCAAAAATCATAACCACTTTCTCAGATCAAGCCGTTCTCAGATTCTTGACCCAGGCCCCTCCCACGATAGTTGATTGACGCTGGTGTTTTATCACAGCTCCGCCCTGAGTGAGCTGTAGACAGTCCTCCATTGTTTCACCGCCGGAGCAGATGTAGACAAGAATGACTCCTAAGAGATTGAGGTGTTCTGTTGTTGGATGTAATAATGAACATAGCAGTCGTCATTTACTCCCGACATCTGAGCCGCTGAAAACGCAGTGGATTACGTTTGTTTCTGAAGGGAATGCGTCCCCGATCTGCCTAAATGTGTTTATGTTCACACGAATCATTCGTGATCAAGCATCACCTCCAGAAGAAGTGTGTATAAGCTTCTTTAATGAATCTTTGCAAATCGCCTTTCCTAATAACGTGCTAGTTAGCGAGTTCTGCGGCTAAAGTAAACAGTCTCATGAGAACAGCTCGGGCGGGGTCAGCAGAGCTCATTAGCATTTAAAGGGACATGCACCGAAACGGCTCGCTGTGAACAGAGCTGTTTTTGACAGGGTAAAAAGGGTGTTGTTTTACACTACCATTGAGAAACTTTAACCAAAATATGTTATAGACTTTTCATTAAGACCCTAAAGAATCATATGAAAATGGGTGTTCGGTATTCAGCCTTCGGCCCAGTGTTTCATTTTGTTCGGTTTCGGCTTTGGCCAATAATTTTCATTTCGGTGTATCCCTACAATTAAAATGTTTTAATTACAATGACAATGAATGAAGAACTCACAATTTAGTTACACTTTGTATCCGTGTTACAGTGTAATTATACGTTTAAGTACTGAGTAATATTAATTAACTACATGTATTTACTAAATAGGTTTAGGATTAGGGTTTGGTTTAGGGTTACTTGCATGTAATTATGCATAATTTAGTGTTATTATAATAGTAATTACATGTAACATATGTAACAGGGACACCTTAAAATAAAGTGTTACCTACTATTTGTACATAGTATGTGTGTGTGTACTGTGTATAAATACACAACCATGCATGTATATATTTAAGAAAAATATGTTGTTTATATATTAAATATATTTATATTGCATATAAATTAAATGAATATAAATATATACTACATGTAAATTCATGTAAATATTTTCAAAATATATGTGTATTCATATATACATAATAAATATACACAGTACACACACATATATTATGTAAATAAAAACGTTTATTTTGGATGCGATTAATTGCGATTAATCGTTTGTCAGCACTACTTTTAATATATTAATAATGTAGAAACTACAATTTATTAACTATGAATTAACTATAACCTAATAGTATGCGAATGATTTAGTTTTTTTTTGTAGTTTTTTTACTGCTAAGTGTTTTTATGTTTTGAATTATGTGTAGTCATAAGTGTGCATATACTGTATATGTTTTACATGACTCATGCAATCAGATTACAAACTGCTGGACCATCTGAAGTTAAACAAAATAATCAAAATAATATTGACTTGATCAGAATGGGATTAGGTTATGTTTACATGTATATATTTAAAGCTATAGAGCACATTAACCACAGAAAAATAATATTCAGAACATTTAGAGAATTCTGACATGTTGTTTTTATTTGTCAGTCCTCAGGCGCTCTGCAGTGCCTCCTCTAACCTCCAGGGGTCTGTGGAGGTCCAGCTGTAAACTCTCTCTCTCTTTGCTGGTTGTAGGCGGTTGGAGCGACTCTGCTCATCAGCGCTGCTCCCTTCCTCATCCTCTTCCTCATCCCGGTGCAGTCAAACACGGACCAGCACCAGAACCTGCTCAAAGTGCTCCTGAGCTTCGCGTCCGGAGGTTTGCTCGGAGACGCGTTCCTGCATCTCATCCCTCATGCGCTGGGTGAGTGAGTCACGTGACCATCACATCCTGTCACATGACCGACCGTAGCCTTGTCTGTAGTTTCCCTTGCGTCTATACTGGAATAATATAAATATATTAGCGTACTCAAGTCAAGTCCGAACTGAAGTCTTATTACAATGCAGATTGTGTCAAAGCAGCTTTACAGTATTAAACAGGGAAATAGTGTGCCGTTCTCCTCTGGCCAGACGAGACCAGCAGTTTAATTCTAGGATGCAGCAGAGTTTTCTGAATTGTGTATTGTTTTATGAACTGTATAAATCCATGTCTAGCTTTGGTAGTGTAGATTTCATTTATATGAAGAGCTGACTCGGCTACTGTTGCAGGCAGATGTAGTTCTGAAATCTGCCCTGCTAACCAGTCGAACCTTCACCCCTCGATTTCATCTCAACACAGAGCCTCATTCTCATCACGGCCAGTCGCACGGAAGCGGCGAGTCACATGGTCACTCACACGGTAGTGAGGAGTCACATGGTCACTCACACGGTAGTGAGGAGTCACATGGTCACTCACACGGTAGTGAGGAGTCACATGGTCACTCACACGGTAGTGAGGAGTCACATGGTCACTCACACGGTAGTGAGGAGTCACATGGTCACTCACACGGTAGTGAGGAGTCACATGGTCACTCACACGGTAG